AGTGAGTATGTGGACCCACCAACAACATACTTGAAGTCTCCAAACAACCTCTTTCGTTCAATTGCTCCAGCTGGATGACCCCATACCAATATTGCATGGATGGCCATCAGATTGTAGAGATTTATAAAGAAAGCAAGTTTCTCCTCCCTCTGCATATCCTTCACTTCCACTCTTTGAAGCTCTTCTACTATTCTCAGAAACCTACAAAGATATTACCATCCACAATATCTTAGATATAAAAACAAAAAAAGTTTAACAAGACACAAAACTGCATTTCCCAATAGCAGTTAAAATAACTCATTTGAGGAAAACAAAAAAGGAAAAGAAAAGAAAAACCTTGCAAATTCCTCACTTCCATGGATACTTCTGTAATCAACATGCTTTCCGTCTTCTGACACATAGGCTTCAAGGATTGCATAAAATAAAAATCTCAACCTTGATGCAATGTCTAGGATGGGCTTTGGCTTCACATCAATTATACCCCTGGGGATGTTGTGACAGTGAGATACAATTGGATCATCGTCCAAGAACCGATACAGGTGGTTCCCATCCTCAAATAGATTTTCCCTAGAGAAACACAAGAGGAGAAAACATCAACAATGGAATAATACATGTGATGCAAATTGGTTTGGCATTAAAAAAATAATAATAAAAAAGCTAAAATTCTTCGCTTAAATATCATGCATTTTATAGGGAAATATGTGTCTTCCACCACTAACTGTCCTTTTGAACAAGACAATGAATCAGGGAGAGCTGAGACCTCATTTTTCACTTCATGTTTTTTCCTCCACATTTCTTTTGAACTACTTTCCCCTCAGACTGTTCTAGCAATGAAACAAAGCAGAAGAGAATTTAAAGACACTTCAAGGGAAACTTCAAGGGACTCACTCAAGAACATGATGAAAGAAGAGTTTGCTTGCAAGCTTTCTCCCAAATTCAATAGCCTGTCTCATAACACAAACCAAAAGGAAAAGGGAAGAGTTAATGATAATGAGATTCAACTGGAAACTAATTTTGCATTTGTAGTAAACCCAACACACGTAAAAATTGAAATAATTTCATGTATATAAGACAGAATCCAAAAGCATGACTTACGACCAACAAACTAAAAGAAAAAGAAGCCCAGTAATTCCTTGCAAAATGCAAAATAATCTGGCCAATTGAAAGATGGAAGTCATATGACCACTGCTTTCCCAATAACTGAAAAGAAACTAATAAAACCAACTAACCTCTTCCCTTTCCAGATACTGATCCTCTGCTAAGAAATCCACTGCTTCTGAACCTGAAAAACAGTTCGTGAACCTGCGCATTTTATAAAACCGATCCTTCACAATAACAAATTCTTTCATCTTCCGGGCAATTAAAGCTAGTTCATCAATAGCTCCACTATTGGACAAATCATCTTCACCCGAAAGTGGTGGCAAAGGAGCTTCAAATGATGGTGGTTCACTGATCAGGTAATCAATCTTCTCATCAAACTTTCCAGACTCATTCAAGCCCTTTAGCTCACTCAAGCCTCCAATAAGGACTTCATTAAAAAACACTTTTGGAACAGAAGAAGACCCAGCAATTCTCTCTAACTCAAGCTTTCTACTGGGGAATACATCAATATTGATCTCAACATATCTGAGCTTCTTCCTATACAAAAATAATCTAGCCTCTTTGCAGTCCTGGCATCCTAATCTTGTGTACAGTATAACTCTTCCTTTTATGGCTATAGCTTGTGCTGGTTCTTCAATGACCTCCTCCCTCTGCTCACCATCTTGGGATGTCCTAATAAAGCTTAGGGGATTCCATGCAGATCCATCCACTGTTTTCTGAGAGACTTCTCCAGCTTCACTGTCTTTAGTGGAATCTGAAGCATTCTTATCTGCATTGTCAAGAACATCTTGTTCGTCTTCATCTCTTTTCCCAGAAAGGCGACGCAGAAAAGTGGAGACTACAACTACACCTTTAATCTTAACAAGGTTTGTTAGTGCCACTGCCTTTTTGACTACTCCCTGGGTCTCTGAATCAAGATCTAAAGTATGGGTGGACATACTTCTGTTAGCTTCCATCCCAGGAACCTCAGTTCCATCAAAGACTGGCTCTAGCTCCTCCTCCTCTCCAAGAATTTTATCTGTTGTTTGGTTTGTCTCCTCTTGAGCTTTGGACTCCAAATCCTTACCCTGTTCTGCCTTCTTACCCAAGTTATCATGTCCATCATCGTGTAATTTTTCTTCTTGAGCTGTTGACGCCACCTTATGACCAGAGTCATTTTGTTCCTTACTTGAGTCTGAATCATTTTCTTGAGCTTTAGACTCCAAATCCATTCTCTCATCAATCTTCTCACCCACGCCACTGTGACTTGGATTACTGTCTAACTTTTTACCCTGCTCTTTAGATTTCAAATCACCGCTCACATCCGTTTTTTCAACCAATCCATCTTCTCCATTATTCTCTAACTTGGGACCACCAGTGCTGATACTCAGAGATTCAATCTCCCTTGATGGTTCTCCTCCCTGCGATTTCTGAAGATCAAGCGTATCTCCGTCCAACTTCTGAGCAGCCAGAGAACTTGTGACATTTTCCTTAGTTGAAGCCTCCTTCTCCATGAGGCAGGGAAGAATAAAGTTCAAGTACTAACTCATTAAAAGACAGCCCTAAAATGTTTAGACTGTGAACATTCAATGATTTTATGCAGGATCCTGCAATAGTGTAAACAAAATTTAACAATGTCATGACTTGCAAAGCTGCTGAGTGTTGATTAATTCGATAAACTAATATTGCAATAAAATTTTGGCTTGCAAAATCCTAGCTCATCAAAAAAGTTATTTCAATGAACATGTCTAGCAAGATTGTAATCGGCTAATAAAGATTGAAGATTAGACAGTACTAAAGCAATTTATTAACACTTCACCAAACAAAAAATTTGCGTGTGGTTCCTGGTTGCCACCAACCAATGCCTAAGCAACACTAACATCACTCAGAAACACCTAAATTAAGTGATGGCTTTCATGAACAGCAGCCTGGCTACCTTAGTTGCTAATCAAGCAACAAAAGGAGCTATTCAACTCAATGGGTAAGAAAATATCCATAGCCAGAATAAAAAAATAGTTTTTCCACTGATCATGTTGCTATATATTTTTCCATACACCAAAAGTTAATGCTTCTTTTGCTGGTAGGGTCATCCGTGAAAGTCAACCCAGATCGAGCAAGACAAAAACATAGCAAACACCATGTATCCAATTTAGCACACACTGCAGCCGGCCCACTAAGCAAACATAAAAAAAATTGAAAATTGAAAAACAAAGAGATATACATGACTTGCCATGCTCATATTCATACACTAAAATTTCAAGAAAGGGTCGTGCTTAGACCTCACCAAAACTCACAAGTGTGTAAACAAGAATCTGCAAATCAAGAAAGAAAGTGCAAAAACAAGAAACCATTTGACTGGTTACAGGCTAGGCAGCAAGTCATATTGTTCGCTTATGAGAAAGATTCTTGCCCAATAAAGAGGTCAAAATGACTACCTGCATGTTTAGCATATGTATGAAGACAGTACAATTTTTTGTATACCCAACAAAAAGCAAGCCTTCACTGTTTCCTATATAATAGCATTATGCAAAGGTGAATTTTCAACTACTTTGACCAAAGAGCGGGTGCAGATAGTAAAGCACAAATGACTTTCCATCCCAATTTCCTCAATTTCTCAGTAAACAAACAGGTAATTAAGAAAATATAGTAACCAATTGAAACCAATTAACTAATAAAGTAAACAAATTTACAAAACCGAAAGAGAGAACGTGAAAGAAATCTTACAGATCTGAAAAGGGCTGAGAGAGCGCGATGGGATTGGGGAGGAACAGTTCAGAGAGAAACAAAAAGGAAAAAGAAGAGCGAAACTGGAGAGAGAGATCTCTGAGCAGTTACAGAGATGACATTAAATGGTGTGTGAGAGAGAGAGAGTTTCAATTGGTTTTTGGGGAGATGGAGAGAGAGAAAGAGATTGAAATGAAACCGCGATTTTCAGAGGGAAGAGAGGAACGCAGGAAGCGGGAAGTCCGTGGGCTCAAGAAGATAAATATTTAAGAGTGGGATTTTGGACTTTCGACCCAGTACACACTTCAGTATTATATACGTGTGGACTGATCGGGTTGAATTTTCTTACACAAAAAAAATTAAATAAATAAATAGCGACTTTGTGTTTGAAATTAGTGAATCTTTGTCCAAATAACTCATGTTTTTTATATATATTTTGTACCAGATATGTAAAGTTAATTCCTTTTTAAAAATGATATGTTTAATGAGTCAATTTTTATGTGAGAAAAATAATTGAAATGACCATATACATGAAAAAATCCATGACTGTGATGTCTTATCAACATCGCAGAAGATGAGATATTATCATATGACATTGAATACTACTACGTACTATAATCCGTCAACATGGTATAATATGTGTGAACGACATAGTTAAAATCTCGCTTTTAAAGTATAATATCAATAAATATTCAATGTTAAAGAACTACCTAATGTGGCAACCCTACTCAAGAATCCCTCCGATACAAATAAAATATAGGGCCTGTCTGGGAAAAATTTGAGTAGGGTTAAAAGCACTTCGGAAAAAATAGACAGAAGTATTTGACTTTAAATAGACAAAAGTGCTTTTTTAGGATTAAATAAACACTTTTAAGGAGCATTTTAATTTTAGCGAAACTTTTTTTAAAGGTATCTATTTATCTATATATTAATATAAAATAAAAGAAGGCCAAAACGGTCAAAGGGCACACCAAATTCATTCTATCTAGAGGAAAGGCTCTAGTCACGGAGGAGCCAAAATGTGGTCCAATACCATAAACTTCTACTCTATTGATTCAAGGAAAATATGTGGCTAGAATAAAATGCAGAAGGAGCTTCCGTCAGCATGAACTTGCAAAGAAAAATTTCTGAAAATGCAGACTATATTGAGAAGATTTAACATCTAACATTTCACAACATACATCATACATGGCTTGTTAAACTGAATGCATATTTACATAGCTACCCTACAGCGAACACTGCTTCTGCTTAAATTCTCCATGCTAATTGTTCATATTTGCAGGGTTCAGTATCTCCCAGGGCCCTTACTCGGTAACTTTCATCCGAAGAAAAGGCTACGAGGGCATATCACTTGTATAAGAAGCTTACAAACCTGAACCCTCCCTTTCTTCCTTTATATAATGAAAGAGTAGGCGTTGTCGAAGAAGAGGTTGTGGTGTGTCAATCTTGACAAGGGCTTCCTCCCATCAGTTCAGCATCTTTCCCCTTTTCAATTGATAGATACACTGGATATAGTGGATATATATCTCATATGGGTAGCCATCGATATCTTCAACACAATTCCACCTTCATCTGAAGTTTTGATCAGGCAAAAGGATCAACTGGACTGCAAGCTACACTCAAATGAAGGGTCCATCTCCCATCCGAGTTCTCCACATGCAGTAAGAACAGTGGCAAGGATGTAATCATCCACCTCAAAACCCTCTGTTCGCATCCGATACATGAGCTTCATAGCCTCCTGGCAGAGACCATTCTTTGCATAACCCACTATCATAGCCTTCCAAGAAACCAAATTCCGTTCTGGCATGCTGTCAAAAACTTGAAATGCCTCCGTTACATAGCCACATTTTGCATACATAGAAATCAAAGCGCTACCCACAAAAACATTAGACATGGCAGGACTTTTATTTGCAGAGGAGTGAATCAATTTTCCGTGCAGAACGGTTTCCAGCTGGGCGCATGCTTTCAAAGCGGATGAGTAAGTAAATGCGTTGGGCTCCACCCCATCCTCCATCATTTCATTCAAGAATTCAAGAGCTTCAGACTCAAACCCAAGATGAGCACAGCCAGAAATGATGGCAGTCCATGAGACAACATCTCTTAGAGGCATTTGTTGGAGGACCTTTGTAGCATTAGAGTACTCCCCACACCTACAGTAGAACCACACTAAAGTACTTCCTAGGTGTAAATTGGTTTCAGTTGAGTTCTTTACTATCTGTGCATGAACTTCCCTCCCCATCAGCGAATCCCTCATCAAGCCACATGCTCTGAGGATGCTTACAATGGTCAAGTTGTTGACAAATATATTTCGCCTCTTCATTACTTGAAAGAGGCAAATGGCCTCCTCACTGAAGCCCTTCCGAGCATACCCTGCTATAATAGATGTCCATGTAACTGTGTTTCGGTTCTTCATTCCATCAAAAACTGTTCTTGAGTCTATCATCTCCCCGCATTTTGCATACATATCAACTAGAGAAGTGTCTATAAAAACATCATTCTTGTAAATCTTCTTAACTAAAGCACCATGTAACTGCCTCCCAAATCTTAACTCCTTCTCTTCCCCACAAGCCTTGAGAACACCACACACCGTAAACTCATTAGGTGAAAACCCCTCACTTAACATCTGCGAGAACAGTGAAAAAGCCTCCTGTCCATGCCCTTGTTGGGAACAAGCAGTTATTATAGTTGTCCAACAAACTACATCCCACTTTGGCATCTGATCAAATGCGCGGAAAGCACTTGACAGCTCTCCACATTGCGCATATAATTTAACAACGGCGCTGTCAACAATCAAGTTGCTCCAACCACCCTTCAAGACACCACCATGGACTTGCCTCCCAAGCTCATAATCCACCCTCTTACTACACAAATTAAAGGCACACACAAACATATTACCATTCGGTTGAACCCCATCATTAATAGCATCACTAAACAAACCCAAAGCTTCATCATCCAAACCGAAGTTCAAGTACCCGTTAATAATGGCGGTCCAAGAAACCACATTCCTAACAGTCATTTTGTCAAACACTTTGCGGGCATCGACTAACTTCCCAAACCCTAAATAAGCACAAATCAAATTATTAAAAACATACGTAACAGGATTCGCTAAACACCTCAAAACAACTGCATGTAATCTTCTCACTTCATTTAGACTACGACATGACCGGAGCCAAAGAGCAAGCAAATAGGGTCTGGAGCTTTGGCTCAGTGACTGAGTATCAGAGAATTCGGCATCTGGGTTTTCTTGGGAGCTTAAATTCTCAAAGTCGTAAGTAGAAGATGGGTTTTCGCAATAAAAACAACGAAAATTCGTGGGGGTTTTACGATTTCTGGTCTTTGAATTTGAATGCCTTCTCTGTATTGGTGGTTGAATGGAGAACAGAGAAGGTGTTTGATAAAGGTTGATGCCAATACGTGGTGGCAAGAGAGTCGGCGAAAGCATTGCCTATTTTGCAGTTTGAAAATTCCCGCGAAACAAAGAAGAACTCAAACAGAATCTCAGTTTGAGAAAGCTGGGCTCCGCTGGGCATTAAAAGTTAGTGCACTGTGCACCCCGCTTTTAAAATATCCTCCTAATTTTTCTGAAAACTTCAATTTTCAGAATATTTTAAGAAAAATACTTTTATTTATTTATTTTTAGATTCACTATTATACTTAATATATGAGTCCAAATTATAAAAAAAAAAAAAAACTCTATAAGAAATGGACTTTAGAAACACACTTAAAACTCATTTACAACATAACAAAAAGGCTTTAACTTCTTTTAAATTTACAAAACTATCATTAATTTCTTAAAATAAATTCAACCCCAAAACCTCATAAAATAGCCTAAAACACTCAATAAAACATCAAAGTAACTTAATAATTAAAATTAAATTTAATAGAGCAAGCTGTCATTTTTTGGATTTGTTTATAAAAATTAAATTGTGTAAGATTTATATATTATTAATTAGGAGTGGTTGCGGTTCGGTAACCGCAAATTTTTACTCAAACCGCAAACCGACCGACTATAAATAAATAAATACACAACCTCAATTTCTCAAACATATATAAATTCACAATCTCCTCAACTTCTCAAGCATTCACAACCTAAGAAAATTAAAGTTACAATTCCAAGCATTCCAATTAAAGTTAAACTTCTCAAGCATTCCAATTCCAAATCCTTTAAAGTTATAAACCAAAAGGAAAATGCAAAGCAAAATGAATTAAAGTTACAACCAAAAAGAAAAATCCAATTCAAAGTTAATTAAAGTTAAAAACTAAAAGGAAAATGCAATGCGCCAATATTACAAACTAAAGTTACAAACTCAAAGTGTTGGTGGTGAATGGATTTGAACCCCGTTGTGTTGTTTGAGCACCAATGTTATCTACAAATAAAACAACATAGTTTAGTACATTTTATTATAAGAAGAAACATAAATAACATTAGCATAAATAAATTAATTACTTACAAGTTGTCATATGTTCCATTTCCTTGTAGAATTCAACATCATCATCCGTGCGGCTATACTTTGCGGTTTGCGGTAACCGCAAGTTTTAAAAATCAAATACCGCAACTGCAACCGTAAATACGGTTCGGTTTACCGCGATTGCGATTTCATTGCGATAAATTGTCGATTGATTTTTGCGGTTTTTCGATTTTTCGGTTTAAAATGCCACCCCTATTATTAATGCTAAGATGGGTACATAACTAAATATATCTTCTTCAATTTTTAAAGGTTGGGGTGAATTTAAGGGAAATGTGGTGAAAACCCCTCCTCCTCTTTTTATTTGGCTTGAAAAACCCTCCTAGTCTGTTTATATTACGTTGCCATTTCTTTTTCCTCCATCTCTTCCGGGCAAGCAAATAATTTTGGCGCAAACTCTCTATGGACGTTTCTACTGCCACTCTCAAACCCTCTTGTTCTTTCCCACTGAGAGCCCCTAAAACCGCTACCAGAGACCGCGCTTCTTCTCTCTCTTTCGTCAGAACCTCGTATAGAAGTATTTCCCTATCTTCCAAAATCACCAATGGTATGTACTCTGTTGCTTATTTATTCCAAATTTACAAACTTAACTTTCCTTTCGATTTTTCCTGAAATGGGTATTGTTAATTTGCACTCACCATACAAGTGATTGCTGTTAATTAGTGATTATGAAGTGAAAAAAAAAAAAGTGAAATTGTGTCCAAAAAGAACCAATGGAATTGGGAAATACGTTGTTAGTTTCTTAGAAGGAGCATTTTTTGTATCTGGGTTGAGGGTGTTTGTGTAACAGATTGCTGTTATGAACTGGCAGATTTAGAACATGCTTTATTTGATAATTTCCTTTTGATTTTTCATAAACTGGGTATTGTTAATTTGAACTAAGCCTACATGTAATTGTCTTTTTGGTGCTTTAGTCTATCTCCAAAGCCTCTTTCTATGACATCGAAGCCTTTGTGTATGTCATATGTCAAATTTGGAAGCTGAAAAGAAGAGAAAAAATTATGTAATTTGTGTCCAAAAAGCATCAAAGGAATTGGGAAACACCTTGCTGATTTTTTAGGAGGAATATTTGTTGTATTTAGGTTAACCGTGTTTACTGCTGTTTTGAAGTGACTGTGTAATAGATAGCTGTTATGAACTGCTAGGTTGTCTCTTACCAGTTAAACAACCAGTCAGGCCTGTTGCTGCTGCTACCGTTGGTGATACAACTGCAGTTCCAAACGATTGTTCTAGTGCAGAAGAATTGTCCGTTTCTGATTCGTCTAACGCCACATTGGTTGAAGATGAATCCAGAGGAAGTGGTGAAAAGGGGGAAGAGAAAGGTGGTGTGGGGGGCTTGGATGACCACAAAATGACCCGAGTATGTGACAAGCTTATTGAGGTTTTCTTGGTTGACAAGCCTACTCCAACTGACTGGAGAAGATTATTAGCTTTCAGTAAGGAATGGGATGATATCCGGCCTCATTTCTATAAGCGCTGTCAGGACCGGGCAGATACTGAGGATGATCCTGGAATGAAGCATAAACTACTACGGCTTGGGCGGAAATTGAAAGAGGTAGGTCTAGCAAGTCAAAATATGATAAGCCCTGAAAGTGACACTACCATACTGGTGACCTAAATGTCTTTTATTGAGGTATATTATATTTTTACTTCTGATTAGAAGCCTTTTTTTGTTTCCACCCCTTGGTCTATGAGTGAGCTAACCCTGGTTCTCCCATGATCCTAACTACAGCTTCCTCAATCAGGTGCAAATTCCCCTTCACTAAAGAAAAAAGCAGGCTTTTACTTTCTTAAGATAATACTTGTTGGGAGTTCAAGACTAAAAGGATGTTCACAATCTCCTGGAGTGATAACTTGTGATGAGGATAATTTAAAATAGAATTTTCCCTTTCCATGACTATACGAGGAAATTGGTTTTTTTCAATTTGGTGGCTCTTGTAATCATCAAGGAATGCTTAAATTTGTTTGAGTTTGTTGCGCCGTTAACTTAACAGTATTGGGTGCTTCTTTGCAGATTGATGAAGATGTGCAAAGACACGATGAACTTCTTAAAGTCGTTAGAGGGGCTCCATCAGAAATTAGTGAAATAGTTTCCAGACGTCGCAAAGATTTTACACAAGAATTCTTTGTGCATGTTCACACTGTTGCTGAATCCTATTACGACAATCCCACAGAGCAAAATGGTGAGACTATGTAATATTTATGATATATACTCATCACTTAATTATTCGTTGTTTGCAAAAGATGTGCATTATATAATTAACACAGTGTTTGTCTTGTTCTTGAAGCATGATATCATTTAATCACTATCATTCCTTCCTGCCTTTGTCCAAATCATATATTGTTAAGAGTAAAAAAGATAATCGGCCTGCCTTCATTTAAAAGCATGATACACCTATGTTCTAATATCAGCTGTGGGGTAGCAAGCTAGATATAGCAGTTATCTAGCTGATTTAATTAGGGGTACTTGCTTAAATACTGTGTGAAAGTGCCACTAAAACCAAGACTTGTTTACATGTCATGTAATTTGTTGCGTTACTATTAATAATGTAAACCGCAGGTTATGTGTAGTAGTTTTTAATAATTTAAATTAGATACATTCGAGGCCAAAAAGAAATTATATACATTAAATTATGCAATTGGGTCCGTGCAAGGCCTTAACAGGTCTGGATTTTAACCAAAATTAAGTCGGAAAGAAAAAACAAGCCATTGAATTGGAAACGGCCTAACCTTGTGGGGCAAGAAGTGAGCTGGTTTAAATGATGAGGCCTGAAATCCAGCCAATCTCTATATATTTCTTACTCCATTACATTGTGGGTAGAAACTTACAATCTCTTTCTTATATGAATAGGTTTGGCAAGTATTGGAAATACGTGCTTGGCTGCTGTACAAGCATATGATTCTGCAACTGAAAGCATTGAAGCACTGAATGCTGCAGAGTTGAAATTTCAAGATATTATCAACTCTCCTTCTGTTGATGCTGCTTGTAGGAAGATAGATCACTTGGCTGAGAAAAGTCAACTCGACTCAACATTGGTGATGATGATTACAAAAGCTTGGTCAGCTGCCAAGGAGTCGAGCATGACAAAAGATGAGGTGAGATGATAGCTTGCCAGAGATACTGTCTTTCTCCAATTATGATTAAGCTGTCGCAGCACTATTATGTGTCTATGACAATCCAAGTTGTTCATATGCATAACATAGAGACAAGTATCATTTTGACGTACTGGTCCTAGAATTATTTTATGAACAGACACAAAGAGCTTGATTAGATTGTGATTCCCAACCTCCCAAGAAAAAAAAAGTAACAAAGAAGAGGAAGCCAAACTTTCATTTTTTGGGTGGTGTAATACTTGCTAATTTATGGGTTTTTTTTTTATGTTTGAGTAGGTGAAAGATGTATTATATCATTTGTATGTGACTGCAAGAGGTAATCTCCAGAAGCTCATGCCAAAAGAAATTCGGATAATTAAGTATCTTCTCACAATTGAGGATCCTGAGGAGCGTCTGTCTGCATTACATGATGCATTTACCCCAGGAGAGGAACTTGAAGGGAAGGATGTAGATAACCTATTCACGTATGCATCAAAAACTTAATTACTCTTTCTAATGAGTTTGTAGAAATTTATGCATTTGGTAGCTGTATGAAGTTGAACGGCTATCCTCTGTTTTTCAAAGCTCATGTTTCCTTTTTCTTATTTAATTTTATCAGGACTCCAGAAAAGCTCCACACCTGGATAAAGGCTGTTGTGGATGCTTACCATTTCAGCCAGGAAGGCACTCTAATAAGGGAAGCAAGAGACCTTATGAATCCAAAGATCATTCAAAAACTGGAGGAGCTGAAGAAGTTAGTCGAAAACAAATTCTTGTGACCAATAACACATACATCATGAATAGTACTTGTCCGCATGTCAAAGATCACTGGTATTCATCTCCAGGACCGTCTATTTATCTCAGCTAAACTTTGGAAATACAAGAGAACCCTCGCCATGACTCTCCGGATTTTCTGAAGTTCCTAGTGGCATGCACTATTAAGGTTGAAGCTTCAAACGTCAAAATGACTTGTCAGCCTTATAGGTTAAAATGGTGTAGTTTGTTGGGTTTTTGTAGTCTGATGTACACCGAGCCCCTTTGTCATTATAAACTACAGCTTTGTAAAATTACTGGCTCTAAGCTTGAAAATAAACTCGATCTCATCCTCTGTACCAATTTTCAGTGAACAGTGTGTTTACAGGAGAAAGCTTTATTTTCTCATAATTGAATGCGCAATCTTGCTAGTAGATGAGTGTCGCATACATCACAAAATACAGATTATATGCACCCACACAAGCATATGTTAGCGCTCTCTTGTCTTCTCATGTTGCAAGACTATAAATCTGAACAAATTCGGGAAGAATTAACTTAATCAATGGTTCATGTTCACAGTCTAAACAACATACCTCGCGTTCTAGCTTTCGGTTTGATGTGTAAGAAATCAAATTTTCATCTAACCAAGCCTTGAGACGTGTTCGAGGATTGGTGATGGCCTAGCCCTATAGCTCATTCAGCTCCCAACATGTTCATTATATCAACTGGCCAAACGTACGTACGGATTTGTACTTGGAGCTCATTCTGGTTTGGGCTCGTTTATTATGTATAAAGACAGGCCTTAGCAAAACCGTAGAAACCCAGCCCATTACGGGCCCAATAAACCAATGAAAATAGCGAGTTTCACTAAAACACCCAAAATGAGAGCTGAAATTATAAAAAAAACCCAACACCCAAAACACTTTATAAATACACCCAAAACCCATTATTACACACACTCAAAACCCATTTATAAACACACTCAAAAAATATCATTTGAGTTTTTTAATAAATACATGTCTAGGTTGGGTTTATTTATAAATTTATAATGAAGGTATTATTATCTCCTTTTTCATTTGCCAAACGCCCAGCCGAGGCGTCGCCCTCGCCCTCTCCCTCTCATAACGAAATTATTACGAGAATGAAAAAAATCCCAAAAAATCCGAGTCCACTTCAAATTACAGAGTTTTGCGCGCAAATTTAAAACCCTCGTTGTGTAGATTGCACGTCGACGACTCTGCCTCAGGTAAATTATCTTCTTGTTCTCCCTCCCTCTGATTTTTCATGGATTTGTTTGCTTGTTTGCTGAGAAAAGTTGAAATTGATTATAAAAAAATAAAGAAAAAAGTTCTACGTTGTACAACAATTTTGAAATTTCAATTGGGTTCTGATTTATGTCTTTTTGTCTTTTGGTTCTGTTTGCGTCGACTTCTGCCTCAATTCTGTCCATGATGATCAGCATATGACTGAATTAAACTGAATTGATACTGAACTAATTCGGATTGTGATATTTTCTCAGCAAAGCATTTGCTATTTCGTAGGCACTGACTTTTTAGATGTCTTGAGAAAAGCCAGATGATGAACAGAAAATCAAGTAATTGTGCTATTTGTGAGAGTTCAAATCTCGCTTCTGTCTGTGCTATCTGTGTCAATTACAGGTGTGACATCTGAACTTAATGGTCCTTCAAATTTATTGTTGATATTATGAACTTATTCGAATCGTTGATATAGCTATTCTAACTGTTATAGAATAATTGCATGTTTACATGTTCTTAATCTTATATATGGGTATGCTTGTTTTCAGATTAACTGATTATAACAGTTCTTTAAAGGCACTGAAGATTCGTCGTGATTCCTTGTATTCAAGATTGACTGAAGCGCTTGTGGCAAAGGTTTGTTTCTGCCTTGGATTGACTTAGGTAGCCTTTTCTTTTCTATTACTTCATACTCTTGTCCTTGCATTCCAATGGCCTATTTCTGCCAAGTACAAATAGAGTTTTCAGGTACAATCCTGTAAGTTAATTAGAATAAAACCATGTTTTCTTACAACATATTATGTATTGTATTGATGATATTTTTTGATCGGTTCTCATTAAAAAATATTATTGACCCGATTAAAGTTTGTGAATGCCTATGGAAATTGACATGATTGAAATTTAAAGTGTTCCAATAAGGTGTCCATTTTGTTCCGAGGGGAGTATTACTTAAAAGAAAATATACTGAGGATGCAAAGATGGGTAATGGACTCTAAAGAATCCTGCTACTTTATTTATACTGATGTTTTATACATTCGTCAGGGTAAGGCCGATGATCAACTAAATTGGAGAGTGCTTCAAAATGAAAAGCTTGTGAGGTTAAGGGAAAAGCTCCGCTGTAATAAAGAACAGCTTGTGCAAGGTTGGTTTCCTATTGCCAAACAGAATTTAGGTTGAAATTCATTGATGTTGTTCCTGTAAGACTGATTGAGATGTTTACAGGCAAGGCAAAGATTGAGAAGATGTCCTATGACCTAAAAGTAAAATCTGGGGTGCTTGACTCAGCCCATGCTGTGGTACGACAATTTTTAGAAATGTCTTTGTATTTGATTCTATAGAAATCTTTAAGATATCATGGACTTCCAAATTTTCCTATTTGCAGTTGGGAAAAAATCGTGCAGAACAACTGGAGAAGTTCTATCCCAACCTTATATGCACTCAGAACTTAGGGCATGTAAGGCATATTTATACACTCCTTTAATTTAGATACTTCTTTCGTGCATTATTAATTAAAGGAAGTTAGTATAGCTTTATTGGCTCAGAAGATGTGACCATAGTTATGTTTTTACTTTGCCATGCATTCTTCTTATCCTTCTCTTCTAGACATTTTTCTTATTTGAACAAAAGGTTTGATGCTTGATTCGTTCTCTGAATTGCAGATGGCAATTACCTCTGAACGCCTTCATAAACAGTCGGTGGTTATAAAACAAATATGTAAATTGTTCCCCCAACGTCGGGTAAGCTCTTCAAAAGTAGATGTATGTTGATTTATGTGCATGAATTATGGCTTATAAGTTGAGTTGAGTATTAATAGAAACATCCTACACATGCTCTGCATGTGTGATGAGAAATTATAGGAAGTTAAAGGGTAGGATGGATAGTTATGGTAAGACCCTTAGCTTTAAATTTAATTATGAAAAATTGATATTTTATCCCCTTTGGTTGACAAAGAGAATTCTCTTAGATAATAGTGTGGATGAACTCAGTGGTTTGATTATATTTGATTGATAATCCTTGATGACTATGTTACATGAAGCTATTGACTGACTTATATAAGTAGAATGAAGGCTATACCCATTTTGTTTTCCAAAAGAAACAGCATCACTGTGGTTTTGCTCTGGGTTGTTAATAATTCGTAGCATTTGATATTCCTCTATATAATTATTGGGGTTGGAGGAGCTTAAATCCAAGCTTTTTTATGTTCATTCTTTCTGTTAGGTGACTGTTGAAGCAAAGAGGAAAGATGCATCTGGTGGTCAATATGATCAAATTTGTAATGCATGCTTACCAAGAGGGCTGGATCCACACTCAGTTCCATCAGAAGAGCTTGCTGCTTCTTTGGGGTAATCTCTCTTCAGAGTTGTAATATCCTAATATTCTTGTAAGCAGGAAGCTATTTGGTACTGAATTATGTTATCTCACTGATTCACCACGAACTTGCTGAGAATTATTGCTTTTTCCTCTTGAGATTATGTTTTTTCAGTTAAATCCAGTGCAGTTGAATCATGTTTAGCAATGGTGATTTGCACTTTCACTGATAACTGATCACTATTATTGGAGAACAGATACATGGTTCAACTCCTGAATCTTGTCGTTCAGAACTTAGCTGCTCCAGCACTTCATAACTCAGGTTTCGCAGTAAGCACTGTTCACCCTCCATGTGATGGCTTAAAGATTCCCTTGAAAACAATGGTCTTTCCTCACCGTTAAGATTTACTATTAGCGAACTCTTTAGGGGTTTGAAAGTACTAATGATGATTATATGATTATTAAAATGTTCTGGAAGTATTAGTGAAAATAGATGTTTACGGTCTCTGAAAGTTTCCCAATGTTTTAATATATATTGGAAATTATTCTTATTTTGATTTGTCAAATTAAATTGCTCGTATTGTTAGCTTATGACATGTGTTTTTGTTTTTATTTATTTTGGGAAGACATTTGGTTCGGAAGAAAAGCATACCTTCATTTGAAACCTCTTTCTGTGAAAGCATTCTATTTTTATTTCAAAGCTTCTCTTTTCTTCTAGAGATCTTCACTAAGACATTTGAAGCTTCATATGAGGCTTTTGATGTTGTATTTTGGATTATTTTTAGCTATATTTCGTCTTAAATTGGGATGCCTTACTTCAGGGTTCCTGCTCTCGGATATGGCAAAGAGATTCTTATTGGGATGCGCGCCCTTCTTCTAGGAGGTACGTTGGCTGGAGATATTTTTTGACATGGGAGAGGATTTCTCCTCCTGGTGACTGAGATAATTTATTTTGTTGCAGCAATGAATATCCTCTCTTTATACCACGGCAAAATTATTGCTCCACTAGTGGCGAAAATTCGTGGTCTGATAGAAGCTCAAGTAATTTTGGTGTTGCTTCAATAGATTCCGAGAGGAAACCCCATCTGGATTCTTCTGGAAGTAGTAGCTTTAATTATACTTCTGCTTCTCAACACTCTGTCGAAACACACAAAGATTTGCAGAGAGGGATTTCACTGCTCAAGAAAAGTGTGGCATGCATTACAGCATACTGTTATAACTCACTTTGTTTAGATGTCCCTTCTGAGGCATCTACCTTTGAAGCATTTGCAAAATTGTTGGCTACATTATCTTCATCCAAGGAAGTTCATTCTGTTTTCTCTTTGAAAATGGCTTGTTCAAGGTACATTGTCCTGCATCTCCTTTCTTTGTCAATTATGTTCTGTGTGCTTTCATTTTTGTTCTATTGTGCATAAACAGAAGTAATAAAATAATAACTTTTATCTGGTTTTAACAATGTTTGGACAAACATTAAGTCCTGAACTTCTGAGAGAGTATTTTCTTGCAGAGTAGATCATTGTGACTTTTGTAACATCTGAATTAGAATGTTAATTGCTTCATGTTTGGGTTGTTGACTGAGCCAATGCTTCATCTGCTGTAACAAAGCTTGAACTACTTACAGGCTATGCATAGGTTGTATGCGACACCCTTAATTAGATAATGAAGCTGGTGCTGCATGGGATCTTTTTACTGTCCCAAGGCGTTGGCATCGCAATTGGAAGGCGATTACAAACCTTAAAATTGAAAATGTATTATTTCATGAAATTACAAGAATTATCTATGTTATTGGTTTTTAATCTCTGTCACCTTCACGCCCCCTTCTATGGTCATAAAAATCCTAACTTCTCTAATAACTTTCGTACAATTAGAGAGAGTACAAAATTAAGATATCTACTAAATTTCCAAAGCTCTCTCTTGTCAAACAGAACACACCTTTATAATTTATGGGTAATACCCTTTTAAGCCTTTCATTTATTTGCATGATCATTCTTGAGGAATTTCTTCTGTAGTTGGAAGGTTCAATTCCTTCAGCCTGGATCACGAACAAAATATGATCATTGCAGAATTTTGAGATGGACTTATGGGACAGTGTGCTGATGCCATGTAGGGTTAGGGAATGTAGCATAAGGTTTGGTATTTTCTTAGACTTCTCTAGCAAAGGTTACTCAATTGTATTGTTTTAATCTCTATACTTGTGTTTTTTTTTATGTTGAGAACAGAACATGGATATAAAGTTGTGTGTGCTGGGTTTTGCAAGAATTATTTTTGGACTTATGGCTGTTTATGCTTGAAATCTGAACTGTAATAACCTCGTTTGCCTGTATACTATAGATATTGAAATCTTTGCATCTTTTTACCTGGACTGGAAATGGTCTTCTTAATACTCAGCTGCTTGTTAAAGAACTCTACTTTAGTGGCATGCTATGGATAGTAGATAAACATTCATTGGAATTTCCCTTTTAACTTTCAGGTCATGTAAGCAAGTTCAACAATTGAACAAATCTGTTTGGAATGTGAATTCTGCCATATCGTCAACCACTCTACTGGATAGCGCACATGCCATGACAATGACGGTAAATGTTTGGGCTTTAATTCTGTTTTGTTAGGACATTTGGGTTTTTAGCTAGTGTACTTTTGTGCCTCAATCAACAATGTTATTGGTTTTGTCCTTCATTGGCCTATAATTGCTTTTGTAGGAGTGGTCGTATCTCATAGCTCAGTTTTGTGTACTTCTGCCTTTTTGAGTTAGGAGCTGTTTGATATTATTGTTTACATCTTTTCACATACATAGGAATAAGAAATAATTCGGTAACTGTTAAATTGGTATGCCACTGTTCTTTGCATGGATGAAGACTTTACTTAATTGTCATACGTTTTCTTTTGCCTTGCAGAAAAATTTGAATGAATATAACCTGCCTACTTATGCCACCAGCTCTCTTTGTTCCACTGAGTTGTCTGATTCTGGGAAGAATGAATCCCTTGTAGAAGGATGGGATCTTGTAGAACATCCAACTTTTCCTCCTCCACCATCACAATCTGAGGATATTGAGCATTGGACTCGAGCCATGTTCATCGATGCTAAAAGAAAATGATTTGGCACTACAACCGTCTTTCTGCTTATTTGTAAGTCACCATTTGAATAGTTTTCTCTTCACAATTCAAGCTTGCAACTCTGTGAATAGTCTCTGTAATTTGTCTATCGTCGTTATATATACCTTTTTGAGTATTCTTGCACCTTTTGTTTGCTCTTGTGGCTACCAACAAGAGCTTTCTTGAACTTTTTCTGTTTTCTCTGTTTTTTGCTGGACAGGTAAGTCAAAGTAGACACGAAAGTTCAAACAAAAAGTAAGACCGCATTGACCATGGAGGGCTCTGTAACATATTCTTCAAGTGTTTGGAATTGACTTTGTTAGCTTGTAAATAGAAATGCTCTAATGGTTGTTTGTCTATACATGTAAATAAAATAGAATTGAGGGGTTTTTCTGTTACAATTTTAACTATAGTTACCTTTATCCTTAAGATTCGTTATGCTAGATCCTTGAATTTAATCAAGACACTTCTATTGCCAGCGTTGCCGTCCATTGGATTAGGGAATGTATAATATAGGGTATCGTTTAGGGTTCGTTTACGGCTATGAAATTACACGTCAAAGAATGATCTTCAAAAATAAAATTTTCTTTTCTTTTCTTTCTTTTTTTGTTTTTTGTTTTTTGTTTTTTTGGGAAAATAACTGCATTAGCATGGGATATGATGAGAGTGTTGGGTTATATTTTTGTCTTTTCTAAATATTATTGGACCATAAAATGTGTACGAAATACAAGAAAATTAGCCTAAACAGTTCTGGCACAGAAACTTCCTCCTATAAAGAGAGTACGAAGTTAAACAGCACTTTTCATCGTTGGTACAATGAGAAGCAGCAGCTTCTTTCACTTTTTCCTCTTCTTTGGGGGCTGAAGGGCCTCTTCCTCATCCTCTTCTTCATCCTCTGGTTCATCCTCTTCCACAATTTCTTCCTCCTCCTTGTCCTCACCTTCATCATCATCATTCTCCTCCTCGTCCTCATCATCTTCATTGTCTTGATCTCCATCATCATCGCCGTCGTCGTCGTCGTCGTCATCACGGTTGTTGCCATCTTCTTCTTCTTCCTCTTCACCATCTTCGCCTACTCCAGCGGCTTCTCCTCCAGACTCGGCTTTGGAGTTGTTGCTTTTGCCATTAGGGTTGTTCCCACTGCCTCCCCCATCATCAGACGATAGCTCCTCTTCGGTCTCTCCTAATCCACCATCGTTCTTCTCTTCATCTCCATCTTCGTCAGCATCCACTGCTTTGTAGTTGGAATGTTCACTCTCATTGTCTCCACTTTTTGGTCCACAAGCTGTTGAGGGCGCAAAAGGATCCTGAAACCACGGGATAAACGCAACTCAAAAGTGGAAGTCAAATAAATTTAACAAAGAAATATGCAAAACAAGAAGGTTTTAGACATCCAGTAACGAACGGACCAAAGGAATTTTTAAGTTAATGTGATTAAACTTCACCAAGTCTAATCAATTTGTAACAGAAATGACAACATTTAGCAATGTACGTCCTTGAATGCAATGGATGTTGACTGCTGAGTAGCCCAAACAGTCTCTAATTTTTTGTTTCGGTTTGAGGTGTGAACCAAACCGAACCGGAGCTCATCCCAACATGTAACGGGGTCTACATTCCTATGTATGTGTCTCGCTCACGAGTCATCAAGCGAGAAAAGAGACAGACACATGGGGTATAAACTGTCACAGATAAATTTTGTAGGTCTATAATAAAGATAGACAAACACATGAACCATCCACCTTATTGCATGTAAATTTTCAAAGAAGTAAAACGAAAAAAGGTTTCCATAAATCTGAAGGTGAATCTCCAAGTCTTTCCTACTTGTTTTATTATTATTATTTTTTTCCTTTTTTGGGGAAACTTATACCAAATTGGGAAGTAAATTATCGTCTCCACCTTTTGGAAGAGCCTTTTATACTAGAACGTCAAATGCCATCATCTGTCACAGGGTGCGTAGGTACACACCACCAGGTTACCGTGGTGGTGTAGCTTATAAATTGGACCATAATGTAAGTCCAAAAATATATCCAGAAACCATGAATGATGTGTGACAAGATTTTCATAAAATTCTAAACCAAAACTGACATGACAGGTGCTAAGAAAATATCTTAATTAATTACAAGAAATTAGATTTTTCTTTATTTTAGTTTAACTTGTACGAAGACCGTTGACTTCCATAACAAACAAAAACGACACAGAATATCCTTTCGTCGTATACCTTCCTCGCATATAATAAACAATAAATAAAAATCCCCGGAACCGATTAAAAAAATTCTCCAAGAAAAACCAAAAAGCATGTAAAAAGATATTTTCAAGGCTCAGCTCAGCACAGAAAAAAACAAGAAGATATTTTAAGAACATTAATAATTAAATTATTCGTGAAAAATTAAAGAGAAAAAGAAAGAAAATGAACTCACTTGAGCGGCCAAAGAAAGCAAGGCTGACGTAAGCAGAGTAGCAAGAGCCTCCCAGGCGCACGATAGCAACCAGACCTGGCCAACCGTAACCTCGCCTCCACCACCACTCCTTTTCGTCTCCATTTGTACGGACTCGACGACGTGCGCAAAGCCCTGTCAAGTCGACAACAATTCAGATGGACCGTCAGATCTGTTCCCTTACTTGGCCCCACCGTTAGATCTGGCAACTAAATTACTTAAGCACTAGACAAAATATTTTTTAAAAAATAAAATAAAATAAACAGTAACTAAAACCGGTCGTCGGAGTTTTTTTTCCGAGAAAACTATGAAGGAGCGAAAACGACGACGTCGAAGAGAAAGTTGAAAACCGTTGAAGCGAAGCAGTGTGAGAAAATGGGCTAAGTGAAGGAAGAAGAAAATTAGGTAGAGGAAGAGAGCGAGGACCTGAAAGAGATGAGCTTGAAACAGAGCAGAGAGAGATCTGAGAATTTGTGAAGCTTCTTCGTCTGATGGTTTAGTGTGGTGAGAGTGTTTCTGTGTTTGTGCTCTAAAGCGTCAGTGAGCTTTGCGTTGGAATGACTTTCGTTTTCAGCCGTTAGATTGTGATCCTGCACAGAAAGAACCTTTCCTTCTGTGTCTGTGTGCGTGAGAGAGAGAGGAGAGAGAGGGAGAGACTGGCCGTAAAGTTGGAAATCAATGTAGTAGGGCCAATAGGGAAGCATGGGCAGTGATTCAAAACTAAATTACCAACCAGTCCTGTGGGAAGAAAATAACTCTTTCTTTTCTTATTACGCGTGACGAACGACAGAGATAGACACGTAATATATCTTTTGTTATATTTTTTTACAGCAACATTATACAATCATACAATATATACAAATTACTTCTTATGAGTAACATGTCGGTATGATGATGTGATATGATAAATTTATACGCATTTTTTCTTTGTCAAATTCGCTAAAATAGTCATTTTTCATAATTTCTTTTCTAAATTAATATTTATTATTTTAATACTCGTTTACGGAGTGCATAATAACAAATTGAGAGTACGAATTAATATTTCTCGTAGTTTTTTTTCGCAGTGGTCCAGTCCATACCAAAATGGTGAAAAATATTTACGAGACCTAATATATGACATGCCTGTCATGATCTTAATTAGTTGGAGGGCCCAATCAGCTCATTTCACTTTAAGTGATGCTGCAGCATAATACCTGTGATTTTGTTCACAACTTTATTTATTATTGTCATTTTAATGTGTTTTATTTTATTTTATTTTTCCGCTTAAGAATTGCTAGCTTCTTCTACACTTCAAGTCTCAAATCTCAAACAACTTTGCTGGAGCACCAGAAAAAGCAGAAAAGAAGAATATCATAATCCCAGCATATCAATGAAAGAGAGAATATCATAATCTCAGCATTTGTCCGCACTAATTTTTTTACAGTCTCAGAGACAGCAATGCTTTATCTTTATGTGAACGGGCACTTGGAAAGTGATCAAATTCCACTGATATTTTTTTTCCCAAAGACTTTGACCCTTTTATTGATTCTATCTTCAATCTTCCCACCACCTTAAGGCATATGTCCCTTCCTCCTGCGATTTACCCAATCCAAAAAAAAAAAAAAAAAAACTCGAAGTACATAATAATATATGAACCAATCAACCCTCCAGCTTGGGTTTGATTTGTATCACTTCAGTTGCCCCAATTTTACCAACAAAATTCATCCGAAGTTCGAATTCCCCACCTTAGTTGATTAAAAAGAAGCGTATGTTACGAGTTATATTGCATTATATTCCAAGATTAGGCTTTGTGCTTTTGTCTCACATAACGTAATGGCATTGCAAAGAGGGAAATGTGAGAATGGCACTCAAAATTTAACAAAATAAATACTTTTTTTAATTATTCACCAACTGTCGTTTATGAAATTTGAATCGGCGACTTTCTAAATAAAAAATTGGAGACGGCTTGTACTAGAACAAATGATCATTGAAAACAAGATAAATTATCTTTTTTTTAGATATATGGGGGAAATTTAAAGAGGGATTTACCTAGAATTATGCAGATGGACATTCTTAGTACAAGCCCGAATAAGTAATTGGGCTAAGCAAAGCCCAAGTGGGAACCAAAGACCATACTTTGCAGTCTAATAATTAACAATATTGTTGCTGCACCCCTTTTTTTCTGGTTGGCTAAACAAGATTAAGTTATCTATATTTAGTTTTAAGATTAAAAATCAGAAAGAAATCACAAGCACAGCGTGGTCAGGATGGCCGAGTGGTCTAAGGCGCCAGACTCAAGTTCTGGTCCTCTAACGAGGGCGTGGGTTCAAATCCCACTTCTGACAATTCATGTTTTCTTTTTTCTTTTTTTCTTTTTTTTTTAATTTCTTGTACTTTTGAAACAGAAAGAAAAGAAAAGAAAGTTCCTTCTTATGGAAAATACCAATTTCTCAAAAATGCAAAACCAAAAAAATTTCTGAATCATAAACAGCAGAACAGATGAAGCTCAATCATAATGGAGGAAGAAGAACATGTATAAACAAACAGATGCATGCTAGTAGGGAGCTGAACTTGTGCGCCGGAGTTGGTATTTAGGCATGGAAGTAGGGTTTGAAGCTAAGATCATCTCCACCTCCTGCAACAACAAAAAAGATAAAACACCAAGAAACAATCATTTTCCATCCAATCTTTCTTGCTTTCTTCACATGAAGATAATGACCAAACTTACAATAGTTCTCTTAATATGTCACATTGCAAGTAAATAGTTAGCTGGTGGCTCTGATATTTCTAAATGCCTGATTTAAACGAATGCTAATAAGAATTTGGTACCTTTTGCTTTTTGAGCCAGCTATTCACTTTTCCCAACTGGAATACTTCATGCTCCAACTCATTGGTATAAGCCTAAAACACGAAACAAAGAACTCTCATAAGTTGCAAGTTTATATTAAATAGAAATCTTGCTTAAGATCCAAGAATTGTATTTGAACTTCAATTTTTTATGACCTGCTTCCTTGCCCTTGACCTGGCAGCTGATTCGCGGTTCTTGATCATCCTCTTCTGTCTCCTCTCTATAGTTCTCTCCTTCATTTCATCCGAAAAATGGCGCTTCCGCACAGCGGTTGCCTGAGACTCGCAAGAGGAAGCTGAAATTGCTGGCATTGGCATTGACATGCCAACTTGGTTCTCTGAGTAATCAAAATTCACAGCTGAGTTCTCATACACTGACTCGCGAACCTTCAAATTTGAATCCAGCATTGTCATCTGCTGCTGAACAGCAGCCATTTGAAATTGAAGCCAATCTGTCTGCTGTGATACAACTGTTGGATCAATTGCCATGATTGGCTGAGCAGCATTCATGAGATTAGGTTGGTTCCCTATGTTAATGACACCGCCACGAACTAAAAAATGTTCGGGAGTAGCTGGAGTCTCCCCGATAGTACTCAACCGTTGCTGCAACGATTCGTTGGCCACCACGGTGTTGACATGTTCATGATGAGCTATTTCCTTCCACACCTCATCCGCAGTCTTCCTACTCAATGCTCCATTCAAGTTGAAATTCCCAAGAAAAAATGAAGCCGGCAATGAGGAGGAGGAAGGGTTTTGTAGCTGCTGCCCCTCTTCAACTGATATCACATTTTTAAGCAACTCATCAAAATGCATGCCATTCAAAGGCTTGCTGTTAATATTTCCCAGGTGGCTCTGGGCCTCATCCAAATTAGAGAGATTGTAAGACTCCTGCCTAGCCAGAGGAGGAAACTGTGGCCTCTCACCTCCATTTCCAGACTCTAAAGTCCTGTCCTCCATAACCCCTTACACTAAATTTATCCAAATTATCCGAAAGCTTCTAAAAAGAAAAGTTCCCAAAAATTTGTTCACAATGAAGAAAGCTATCAGAAATGCAAGCAAAACCAAGAAGCAGCATGATCAGATTTTAAGTCAATTGATTGTCACTCACTAAACCCAGTAGAGAAAATTATATAAAAACTTACGTAAATCAAAATTTTGAAAAGGACAGTAAAATTTTATATAGAAGAAAAGCCATCATCACGTTGTGCAATGTGGAGAATGGAAAGGTTGGTGAAGACTGGAGAGTGAGGAAGTAGTGAGAGAGTCCATAAACAAGATTTTGAGGAGCGAAATGTGAGCCGCCAGAAATGATCTGGCTGAAGTTGATTTGTTGTAGAGGATCCTATTTTCAGTGAGGAGATTGTAACAGAGTTGCTCATCTCAACAGCCAAACCAGATTTTCATGCTACATTTTTGGGATAGAGACACCCAACCATTCCACTCTTCTCTCTCTCTCTCTCTCTCTCTCTCTCTCTCTCTCTCTTGATTTCTACTGGATTTTCTCTTTGTTGAGTGAGAATTTTAGTGCGGCCAGTTGGTACATGACCGTTATGACAGTTAGTTCTTCTAGAAGACCTTGACAGTTATTGGACTCAGCCACACCATATACAAGGCCCCAAGGTGAAAAGATGGGCTTTCTTTGAGTTTCTTGTTGAGATTTTTAAATCCACCACCAAGGAATTGGGTTTTCAGATTTATGTCAATTGGTTCAGCCCAAAGTAGTTCATTCATATTGTTATTAATTTTTGTTAATACAATCGATAATTTAAACTACAAGAGAATGAGGGATGTTTATCACACATTATCAAGGTGCTATAAGAGTTTGAACCAAGTCTACCAGTTAACGCCATTTTCCACTACATTAGACTCCTTTAGCGATATTCGATAAGTTGATAACCGTTAAAAATTGAAAAGCAAGAGACAATGACTAAAGTTACATTACATGCATTTATTTTATACCCACAAAACAAAAAGAAGAAGGAAAAAAAAAAAAAAGAGGTAAAAGTAAATCAAGTTATCCCATCAGTCAAGAATGTATGTCTTTTCCTTTTGCCAACATGGTATTGACAATTTCACCACTCACAATTTTATTTTCTTCTTTCTCTTTTTATCTTAATAAAAGCTTTTTTAAGGAAATAAAAATACAAAATCACAATAAAAGCTAAAACCAACAAGGGATATAAAGAAAGGGTCCTCCTCAGCTACGGGAAATAAATTAAATAAATACAATAGTATTCTGAGTGTGATAATTTTCCATGAGTGGAGGTTGTCCATAACTTTATAAGAGAACACTTTATTTGATTTGTTTTTACCTTGGCTTGTCCTTTTGAGCCCAGGATTGCTCCAAGAAAGAAAAAAAGAGATTATCCTCAAACCCATGAAAGCTTATACATTCAACCCAAACAAGAAAAAAGAAAAACAGAATCTACTTTCTCATGCGTGGCTCAAAAAGGACTTCCTCTTGCACCACCAAAACGAGCATAATATTGGACAGAAGAACAAACATGTATGGTTGTTGTTGGAACACCTTCTTTGTTTTCCCATATGCCTTCTATATTCTTAAATAGTTGCACCAAGTACCAACAATTAGATCACGCATAGTACTTGAACCCAAAAAAAAAAAAACCATTTGGTGTGAATCATTTTTGGGGTTTGAATATAACAAAGATCTCTGCAGAAAAGCAAATTAAAAAAAATGAATGAATGAGTGGGAGGGGATCAAAAGTGGCAAGTTGTAAAATTATTGCAGCATTGTGAACCCTACTTATTGATTAAGTGAATGACGTCCGCGTGTTCAAGTATGCCATGACAAGAAAAAGAGAAAGAAATGTTGATAAAAAAAGGCGGCTTGGTTTAAAGCCACATTGGGATCTCGTGTCAATTTTGTAAAGAGTCATCAATTGGTATATAAAGAATTACACCATACATACTAATGTTGATGTCGTATGATAAAATTCTATATCCGTTTAATAATCCGGATAGTTAAGTTTTGATAAAATATCGATCTGTTTGGTGTAAGCGTGAGTTCGTGACAGCAAAAAAGAAGCTTTTTTTTTTTTTAAGTGGGAAAGTTGCAATCACATACATAAATTATTTCCTATGATTTCCCATAAACGAATAGAATTTGAGTATTTGACAATCACCATGCTAATGGAGAATATTTGAAGCCGTATAATGGTGGTAAGATAAATGGTTGGTGTTTCGACATGCTTTTCTTTTTGACTATTTTTCAATGATCCCTTCGTGTGGAGGATCAGTTCACATAACATGGGACTAGCTTGGTCACTAGAATCTCATGTGAGGACTAACCCACTTTGATAGTTAGGCCATATTCGGCTGCACTTGGCGTGTACTTTTGTGCCATCTTTTGCAAATACATACATTAATTATAAAAAGGAATATGAAGAAAGAAACTTGTTTTTTAATGGAAGCTTCAAATTTCTATTGCTTTGACCTCAACAAATGCATAATGAATTGCATAGGTTACATTGCTTAAGCACCATCAATTACACGATTCTCTTCCCCTATTTGGAGTGATTCGTTGAATGTAAAGTATTGCACCATATAAGATCTTGAGTCTAAACATCCTATACAATTACATGTATTACGATTTATCTCAAAATTTTATACTTTACTCTAATTTATAGAAACGAGAATTTGAACTCAAGTGAAAGGAAGACATGCGCGCTATCATGGCCAATCAACGTAACCCACACATCTAAAATTTGTTTATATTTAAGTTCACTTTAATTTAGTCTTAACAAGTAAGATATTGACAAGTCACATACCACATCATATCATTTGGTGATCAGAATTTGAGAAGAAGAGTTGTAAGGAAGAGAAGAAAACATAAAGTGAAGAAAAAAAAAAAGGAAAAAAAAAAAGGAGGGAAGGCGTGGGCGGGGGGAGAGACGAAAGTCCAAAAAAAATGCCTTTTAGTAAATGATTTTTCTTAAAGTTATGTCATGCTGGAGATGCGTTCGGTATAAGCACTAGAAAAATCACTTTAGATTTTCATTAGTGATGGGAGTTGGGAAGCAGATGCCATTAGCTCATGAAAACAAATTGTTTATAAATAGAAAGAAAAGATAAAAAAGCTTGAAAAGAAATCAAGGTCCCATCATCCCTAAGCATTATAAATAAAGCAAAAGTGAGGGAGCCCTAATTTTATTCAGATTAATCTGACCCTTATGGATGATGCATGGCTGTCTTTCGTTTTTGAAATGAATTTATATACCCAAAAGCACATGCGTGCTAGCACAAAACTGACCCATTTTTTTTATTTCTTTAGTTACCTAATTCATTTGTTTATCATATGTGATGCCAACAGCTGATATCGTTTTAGTAGATATTAGATTCTGATTAGATTTAGAAGAGGAAAAAAATCTCTTTATGGAATCAAATACATGATTTTTTTTTTTTAAATATAAACAATATTGAAGGAAAACGAAATCAAATATAGAATCTACGTTGCATAAATAAATATTCTTAATCACTGAATTACAATTTTTTATAAGTTATTTATATTATTTTATTTAGAATTTCCATGTTGGTATCTGACTTTTAGTCTAGCGGTATTTCTCTTTTTAATATTAAATGAAGTCTCGAATTTAAAACCTAACTACTTTACGAACCTTAAACCTTAAAGTAGTATAAATAATAAAAAATTCCATTTGGTGTAAAGCAACCTAATTAATTGATTACTTTTTTCAATGTTAATTGCTTGATTAGTTGTAGTAAATATCATACCTCAATAATTGGTGATCACCCTGGTGGCGATCATGGCCAAACATGAAGCATAATCTATTATATGTATTTTAGAAGGCCACTTGGTTTTTTGTCGTTTTTTCTAGGCTTTGTTTGGTTTTTTGGCGTGCTTTTTCTTGCACTGTGTGTGTGCGTGGTTGACGCAGCATTTCTTTGTCTTACATGGTATCCACAGTGGCAGTGCACCATTATGCTCTACCAGAACTGAAAGAAAATAGAATATGACAGCCAATACGGCAACACATTAGTAATGCTATCTTGTTCGATTTATCTTTCACCGTGAATTTAGAGTAATTTTTAAGTATGATAGTCACGTTGTCACATGATGTTATCAAACTTTGTCATTCATTCAAAATTTAACATGTGAATTAATAACATCATGTGACAGTGTGACCGATATGCTACAAAATTTTTCGTGAAGTTTATACCTCATATTCATATAAAATTTAATACGATCGGTGATGTAGATTTCAAATCTTAACCCCATAAAATAGTCTAATATAATAGCATTTCTAACGTGTTGGATATTCACTTTGAATTCTCACAATTGTTAAATTGTATGTGATCAAATGCAATTGCTATTTTGGATGTGGTAGCCATATGTACATTCCATTTGGCAAAAGGTTTTACATCCATTGTGGAGGCTTTTAATAATAGCTTCCTAGTTGATGGGAAAGTACCAATTTTCTTCCATTTTATCTACTTTTTCATCGATCATGAATAGTCCTATTTGGGGTCGTTTGGTATGACGGATTGTTATGGACTGGACTAAGTCTTAGGAGTGTCTGGGATTAGCTCGGATTGGCCTAAGCTGGATTAAGTACTGACCTACGTTTGGTGTTGTATCGGACTAAAAAGCTAGATTGCAAAAATAGTGCAGACCTATATTTGGTGCTATGTCGGACTAAAAAAGAATTTTTGTAATATTTAAATTTAATTGGGGATTTTGACTTAAAAAATATATAAATATAACTAGGGCTGATGTGTGAAAAAAAATAATATAAAAATTATAAAATTATAATAAAAAATAAAAAATTCCACTCTTTTTCTTTCATCTTCCTTCCTCTCTCTCTTGCTCAGCCTTTCTTTCTCATCTCTGCCTTCCTTCCTCTCTGTGTTTCTTTCTTTCTTTCCAAATTTCCAAAGAGAAAAACAATAAAAATCCAATTAGCCCCACACCACGACTTTTCACAAACCAATTACCACACCACAAAATTAAAATTAAAAAAACAAAACAAAACAAAACGCCCAATTGCCCAAAACACAATTGGGATCGTAATGATCCCTTTCTTCTTCTTTGGCCATTACCAGAATGATGGCCGCTTGGCTCCGATCAGCGGAAGCAGCTGAAAGACATCTTCATGCGATTTGACATGGACCCCAACGGCAGCCTCACCCAGCTCGAGCTTGCTGCCCTGCTCCGATCTCTTGGCGTCAAGCCCACCGGCTACCAGCTCCAAGTCCTCCTTGCCAACGGAAACGGCACCGTCGAGGTCGACGAGCTAGTCACCACCATCTTGCCCGACATGAACGAGGAGATCCTCATCAACCAGGAGCCGCTCATGGAGGTCTTCCAGTCGTTCGAGAGGAAGAGAATGAGAGAGTGAAAGCTGTGTTGGTCGGACTCGTGAGTTCAAAATAGCACACTCACTATTTTGCGAACCGCATTTCATCCTCATTGTATTGAACGAGCGAGTCTGGTGCTTTTTAACTCATGGACTATACAATCCCATTTATGTTAGTCCCTCTTTCACCAAATGTGGATTTCAAAGTGTTATTTAACACTGTCCTGGCTAGTCAAGCCTACCAAACATTCATGTACTAATGTTCGACTATCTTTGTTGATGGAGATTAATAGAGGTAATGAAGAATTGATCGAGTTCTATGTTGACCCCAAAAAAAAAACCCTTATCTTTCTTTCAAGGACAAAACTACATAAAACCCCCTAAATTATAGGGTTATTTTCAAGTTCATATGCAAATTTAGAAATATTTACGAGTACATATTCAAACTCCCGAAAAATCTACAAATTTATCTATATCGCTGGTGCTAACAACAAGTATACAACTAAATATCTCCAATTTCTTTCTAGCAGGAGACACTGGGGACGGTCAGACAGTTCACAAGCATGTTGGACCTGTGTTCAACTTGTGTCCCATTTTAACTTATTATTCTGGAAATTACTAAACTAACCTTATTCCTTCAAAACGGACCTACATTCTCTATCCTCACCACCCACGCTTTGTCACCGACCTTCCATTAGTCTCCACCTGGCGTTTCAAATGTAAATGATGTCATTCACGCCAAACGTCATTTGGCTTTTTTCACGAATCTTCACTCAAATTATTAGTATGTGTAATTCTATTAAAATTTCTCATTTTCTTTTAATCCAGTGCTACCTCGCATTGGAAGAAATTGTTGAATTTTCTCCGGATCGACTTTATGCTCAATTTGTTTTTCAAAGCCAGATGCGGTAAGGTTATCAGCGGCAATTGTGATTATAGTGCTCATTTAGATTTGTGAGTTGTTATAGAGTTTCAGTTATTTTGAATTTTGTGGATTCGGCTTGAAATAATGTTTGATTTTAGTAAAATGGGTTCGACTAGAGATCATCTTTATGCGTATGTTGTTCGATTTAGTTTTTTCTATTTGAGCTCATTGATTTTGTTGTATTTTCGGACTTGATGCTTTGACTGTATTTTTGAAAATTTGCTATTTGATAAATAAATAAATAAATCTTAGTAGACTACAATTTTTAAGATCAATCAATAAATGTATAATATATATATAAAAGGTCAACTGATAATAATACATGGATTGTAATTTGAATAAATTCGATACACAGTATCCGTATGCTCCATGATATCTAAAACTAAAATACACACAATTATTTCTTTCTTTTGTTTTTGGTTTGTTTTTTTTAATTTTGTTGCAAAAGTAAAGAAAAAAAGTTTTGAAAAAGACGTCAGTGGGGACGTTGCGACGTTAACGGTTTACTGTGGCGCTTTGAGAAAAGAATGAATATTATAAGGTGGATAGAGAGCTTATGGTTCTTGCAAAGTTTGCTTAAAAATGCTCTGAGGAATTGGCTGACAATGATTCCCAACAAAAATTGGGTCACACCAAATGATCATGAGAATGTTGAATTCTTTGGGTCCTCAAAACTCTACCCAGAAAACCCAATTAAGTTCCCACTCCCACAACTGAAATAAATAAAATAAAATAAAAAAACCTTCAAGCTTTGAGGCCACAAAGTTTGAGTCTTTTCAGAAAAACCTGGAAAACCCAAGAATCTTTGCTTGTGACTTTGTTGGGTTTGAATGAATCAGAGCTTTGGTGAGAAAGATATTCATTTTTTGTTGGAATTATAGGCTTCACTGAGAGCTCAATTAGGCATGTTACAAGAGGTAATAATGTCAGCTTTTTCTTTCTCATTCTCTATATGCAGTACATGTGTTTATGCAAGTACTTTAGATAGTATATAATATATAGCTGCAGATTATCACTTCGCCCCCCCC